CAATCCTAAATCAGGTGATGTTAGAGTTGAAATGCCAATTATCCACTTTCAAGAACTTTATAGTTAAGCCAAGGAGCTATGTTTGGTTTTATTTCTCAGTATCAGCAATAGTTACATGCATCCAGTGTTTTGCTCTTGTCTACAAATAGTTGTTGACGGACTTCTTTTTCCTTTTTTCTTCTTGAGCTTATAAAAGTAGCACTTTGCTTAATCATGTGCAAGAGCTGCTATGCTCTCTGATAGCGGTTTGCCTTGGCATGCTGCTGTTGAACTGTGCTAGCTAATCATACTTCAAATACAGAGCCATAAAATCGGATTCTTTAACTTCAAGTTAAAAAGGGAAGGTATTACAAAACTTCCATTTATGTATGAGAATACCCATTTAAAATAAGAAAATTTGAAATCAGTCCTCTCCCATTCTTTATTTCCTGTTGAATAGTATAATTACCACCTGGCTATTCCTTATAATGTAAAAGCATTTCCTTTAGCTAAATGATTGCATACAAGCATTCTTGACTTCCATATGCTTGTCTTAATAGAGCCACTTAATGTTTCAGACTTTCTTTTACCTTATATTAGGGTTTTTTAAGAAAGTGTTTCTATTGCTAAGCACGCTAAGGTGCTGAACAGCTTAGCTGCTTCTCGCCAGCTGATAAATGACAAACTGCTAGTGGTGGTGTTAACCTGTTGACTCTTAGTACCTGTCTGTCACTGTCCTGCAGCAAAGCTTTTGACTGTGTGTTTTTGTTTTGTTTTGTTTTTCTTGTGGGTTTTTTCTTTTGGCATATTGTGTGACATTTTGGTTTTTGTTGTGGTGTTTCTGACTCTTTGTGCCTTTCCTTTTGTATTTGTTTCCCCTCCTTTTCTCAGTTTGCAGCGGGGCCTCGACCTGCCCATCATCAGGTACTGTACTCTTGCCCCTTCACTATCACCCTTAACCAATAGGTGAGACCTCTAATAGCTGCTGACTCTTAGAATGCTGCCATCCTGTGGCCGCGCAGATGACTCTTGTCTAGAGTGACACTGTCTGATATGATTCAGTTGCTTTTGTTCACTAATTTCATTGCATTTTGTTATTAACAAATCCATTTGCGTCTGTTCACAATATAATTTAAAACTAATGATTGCAGTTTTTTTCTTTTTAAAAAATTGCTTTGAATTTAAAGAAGTGAAAATTTGTAGCTGCAGTAAAATCTCACCAAATCTGTGGACAGCTGCATTAAATTTAACTGAATTGAACAGGCAACATTCTAAGGGTTTTGGGTTAACATTCTGATATAAATGGTATTGATATATATAAAATAGCATTAATATTTCTAAAACGACTTACTCTCAGTTACTAACTAAACCTATTAAAAAATTGATTAGCAGTAAATTGCACTCGTTTGCTGCAAAATTTTTTCTTTTTTTCATAATGCATATAGACAATAGATACTTTATTATTTAAGTTGAATATTCTTTGGTTTTTGTATAATTATATAATTGTATAAATTAAAATCTAAAAAAATGTATATGTAAGCATTAGGTTTTTTAGCAGAAATCTCCCAAAGGAGTCGGTGTCAAGGAAGCAGAAAGACTTACAGAGTGTCTCCCCACCAACATTGCTGTTTTGTGAAATATTCTGAACCGTTTCCTGGTGCTGTCATAGGAAACGTCTGTGGCCTTTGTTCACAGTGCCGCTTCTGCTCTGTCACCAGTGGGTTACTCAAGCAAGTCTTTTTCTGAGCCTCAGTTTTCTTATGTGTGAAATTTAGATAAATTATGTAGACTAACTGTAAAGTAATTGTCACAAAGTAAGCAGTCAATAAATATTATCTTTTGTTAAGAACATTGTGTACCATAGTACATAAAATGAGAAACATTTTATCAATGTTTACCTATGACAAATATAATATTTAGAAATCTTATTACCAAATTGATATGATTTAACTAAAGGCTTTCATTGTCTTAGAGTGATTTTTAACACAAGGCTCCATGTAGGCCCGGAATTTGGAGGATGCAAAGGCCCAGCAAATTCTTAGGTGTTAAGGACACTGACACGCTAAGAGGTAGTAAAATGGGTAAGGACTTGGCTACATAGTCTGTAGTTTGGAGGTTCCCATCCACCTACCAGCTGTTGGGAAGAATAGCCTGGCTGCTTGTTTCCATAGAGATCACAGCCTAGAGAGTCCTACGAGAGAGTTCCACTCTGTCCCTTGGGATTGCTATGAGTTGGGATCAAGTTGACAGCACCTAACAATGGTGGGTGGCTATTTTTGGCATCAAGAGTCCTGGTAGTGTAGTGATTAAGTACTTGACTGCTAACCAGAAGGTTAGAACCCGTCCGTGGCTCTGTGTGAGCGAAGGCGCTCTGATCTGCTCCTGTAAAGATTGCTGTCTGAGAACGCTGTGCGGCACGTCTACTCTGCCCTCTGTTGGTGCTATGAGTTGAAATTAACCTGATGACACATGACAGCAACCTTTCACGTGTCCAGCGCTCCTCTGAGTTTGGACTTCCATACTTTAGGCTAGTAGATGGGCCCTTAACCTTTCTTTTCAACCAGGATCTCTGTTTTAGGTGATAGGGCTGATTATAAATTGGGGGTGTGATGGGGGAAGATAAAGAACATTAGAGGCAAGGCTTAAATTTTAGGTACGGATCAAACCAGATAATCCTGACAGCTAAAGCTGACAATCTTTCTTCAGGAAATAGAGTGAAAGGAAACTATTTGTGAATTAAGCAGAAACCAGGCAGGGAGGAGAATGTTTTTAAATGAATTCCCTTATGTAGTGTCCTTTAATTTGTTCAATGTTTGTGTGTTTGTTAAACTCTGGCTTAAAACAAAAAGATCACATAGATTAAGGCACACTTTACCTTTACATTATTATCTTCAGTTACAATTATTTTTGAGTATTGTCTGTGACATAGATTACTGGGTGACTTGATATTACTAAATAGCTCAGGGCCCTTTTTAAGAGTTGTTGTTTTGCTTCCTGGAGTCAAATCGCAGCAATGGTTACCTTGGCAAAATAAAGGAGAGAAGAGGCATGGGTTGAAGTGGCACTGCTGAGCATGTTACTGAGCTGGTGGTGTGGTAGGCATACAGTAAATTGTGAGGAAGAGTTTGCTATTCTGTATCTATATGAGACTCGGGGGCCTGTTTCATTTGTGGAATGGGTATTGGCCTTTTGGGATCAGTAGTTATGAATTGGGATGGGGGTGGCGTCACCATTTTCTATTCTGGAATAAATGGTAGGAGACTACCATCTGACCAAACTTCATAAATGGGAAAGAGACAAATGCCCATTACTTTGGATGCTAAGGCCAATTTTTACGAGGTGGAGCTCAGCCAAGCCTACCATTCAAACTTTTTACCAGTCTGACACCAGTCTTTTGTCTCACAGTACTCTCTACTTGTTTACCGAATTTAACAATTCTTTGTGATGACCACCCAGAACTCTCAGACAGTACTTAGTGTTAGGATGTAACTGAATATAATTCAGGATCAGAAAAGCTCAGTGTTTCCTGATTAGGCCTACCTCCTTTCAGCCGTGACACGGGCATGTTTCGTGCTGACCTCACCTCTCACCCACATGGCCCTTTGGCTTCTGCCCTGCTTGGGATGTGTTATAAAGTTACTTTAGCTCTGCTGATAAATGCCCAAAGGTTAACTGAAGGCACTCAGCTCTCTCACTGTTTGCATCAGGAAGTTCATAGCTCCATCTTGTACCCATTTTGTTGCCTTCTCACTGCCTTTGGTCTCAAAGCCCTGTTTCCTGAATGAAGGGAGGTTCCTTGCAGGGATTTCAGGTCTAAAGGACACATTCTGACTCCTTGCTCTGCTTTCTTAATGGTTGTTAGAGACCCCCTTCTGCCTTTGGAATGATGAATGTTAAGTCTAGCAGAATGACAGAACTGACCAAATACCCTCCGTTACGGTTTCATAGACCTTATTTCCATGGTCCCACCCCACAAGGGTACCATGCCCCTTACTTACATTATTAACAAGCTATCCAATCCCCTTGATGTGCCACGAGCACCTCAAATTTGCATTGTTCCACCCAGTCATTTAGTGGAAGTTACCATTAATGGCTAAAAAGAGCCATGGTAAGTAATTCACTGCATCGCCCTACCAGTATGAAATATACCCAAAAACAGATTAAAAAGAAAAGTGAAGAACAGGTCATCATAAAATCATAAACCCCCTCTGGCATAAGACGACTGTGATAAGCATGAAACTGTTTATAGTTTACCTTGTGCAAAAAAACCTTACCTTTAGGCAAGTTCTAAAGAGAAACACCAGTGGAACTAAAGAGTTGTAGTACTTGCTCTAAAGGGCAGAGATTGCGAGTGAGGGCTAGAGACAAGCACAGCCAAGAACAAGACCCGCCCATGGACACAGCTGAGAGGTTGGAATTTCCTGCTAGATGAAATGTCTCCTGTCTCCTGAGTTCTTGTTACTTCCAAGTTGATCCTAATCTTGATTCTGAATTGTCGCCTGACACTTCTATGATAAACCCCATAATAGCAGCAAATAATCAAATCCAGCAGAGAAATAGAGAATGTCATGAGAGGGATAACTCGTGTCAAAACTGTATTAATAAAAGGCTGGAGAGTGGTGCATGTCTGATCTCCACCTCATGGTAATTAGTTTTGGGCTGATGCCAATGTTGATTTTCTCTCCTCTCCCTGAAATTAGACAAAGGTCTAATGCCCCCACATTACAGTTTAGAGTGTTTTCTCTTATTTATTGGTGATGCTCTCTGTGCCAGACACTACTAAGCCTCAGGAAACTGGCAGACCTCAGTCTGGGAGTCCCTGGGCCAGCCGGGAGCGTAGCACATAGACATTGGCAGTCCTACGAAGGAAGTCAGAGAGCTGGTGATGTAGTAGGTTACACCTTGGATTGCTGACCACGAGGTCTGCAGGTTGAAACCACCAGCCATTTCTTGGGAGAAAGATGAGAATTTCTACTCCCATAAAGATTTACTGTGAGGATTGAGGTGCACCTGACTCAAGCCAGGCATTTTCATTTGCTACATGTGTTAGACAGGGTTCTCTAGAGAGATAAAACCAAATTGCTGATATTTAAATTTATTTATTTATAAAGATAATTAGATATATAACAAGAAATGAACTGTTAAATCATATACAGATAAATATATAATACAAGAAATGAACAGTTAAATTATAAAGCACTACAAATGGCTCAGTGCAACTAACTCCCGTGAGAGAGTGGTGAGAGACTAGCAGTCCTTCAAGTCTAGTCTGCTTCCAGATCTCCCTCTCTTTATAGAGAGAGCGAGACTGTCTCAGCACAGCAGCCAATCACAAGACAGATCACCAACTGTCAACTAACAGCCAGTCTCCAGCTCCAGAGATGTCTTAAAGGGACTTCAACTTACAGACACAGTCCACAGGCTAGGCATCCCACAGGTAGTGTAGCCTATAAATTGAGGCACAGAACAAGCAAGGTAGCCGCACACTGGTCCGATGATCAAAAAGCAAGCAAGAAAGGCGAGACTCACCAAGCCATTATCTATCCGCCCTTCAGTTAATCCCACTTGTGTTTATCGGCCAGGCTGGCACAATAAACTATCTCACTACATATGAATGTGAAAGTCGGACATTAAATAAAGAAGACGAGAAAGGAAGAATCTGCATGAGTTGTGTTAGGAGAAGAATATTGAAAGTATCACAGACTGCCAAAAGAACAAACAAATTTGTCTTGGGAGAAGTACAACCAGAATGCTTCTTAGAAGCAAGAATGGGGAGATTTTGTCTCGCATACTTTGAACATATTACCAGAAGAGACCAGTCCCTGAAGAAGGAGCTCCTGCTTGGTAAAGAGAAAGAGCAGCCAAAAAGAGGAACACAGTAGCTGCAACAATGAGCTCAAACACAAAGGGCTCATTGTGAGAAT